GGCATATTACAAGTATTCAGATTACCAAAGAGATGCAGACAAGGGTTATTTGATGCGCTGAACACGATGGTGAACTCTGTTTTTCTTGAATCCTTTAGGATCGTCAAAAGGTTTTCCAGAAAACCCTGAAAAACCCTGACGCACCTCTTTTTTTGAGTTTTTGAATACATCATAAGATAGAGCATTCAAAGTTACATAACCAGTTCAAATTTCACATTGCTTCCAATATGCTATCATAGGATGTGGAAACCCGAAGTTCTCTGGGATTTTAAGAAAAGTCGGTTTTTGACCTGTAATCTCAGGTTTTGTAGTCGATGATGCTCTTAAGGAGCTTTTGTAATTCATATTCGACAATACCACGTTGTTGGAGCTATTATGAATGCCTTTTCATTATATTAGAATGATGAATGAAGAAGATAGAGAGCCAAAATCCTCGGTTTTCACTAGAATGAGGTCCTCAAAAAAGGGCTGATTTCTTCTTACTGAAATACTTTTAAGACTTGATTTGTTGATATTCGTAATCAGCACACTTAACTATATAAATAAACATATGTTTTAAATGAATCAAAAGTAAAAAGTTTTCCAGAGATCCCTGTGGGGGACCACAGGTCCCAAAAACCTTCAGGTGAGCTATGCAAGAAAAAACCTATGGAATATCATCTGGAGTCATGTCTCACTCCAAATCGATCGAAAAAAGTTAATTCTGTTGAGGGCGAAAAAATGGCCTTATCCGCCCTAGTCCTTTCTTTTGAGAATTTTATTGACTGTTGGATACGATTGTTACTACAGCACCCAGATATTAATCAGCTAAATTAGGCATTATTTTATTGATTCGTGTTTCACGAGGGTGCATTTGTAGGTGTAGGTGGGCACGGTAGTGTAAAATCTTTTCTCAATATCATACTCACACTCCACATACATCCGCGCTCCTAAAGTGCCAAGCTCTAATTTCAATGCTCTTCGTGGAAGACTAATAAAAATTCGAGATTTCAATATTTTTGACTAGAATTGGTATCAAATTCATGGTACTCTTGTCTCTGAAAGATAATTTAAATGAGTAAGATCTGATAACCTAAAATGAGTATGTTCTTTGCATGTCAATCATGACTTGTACTAAAAATAACTCATATGGGTAATTTCAATTCGTTAGCGACATGATTTCAAAAAATAAAAACTGGATATACTTCTAGACTGAACATTATTTTCGCCAACTTTTTTTGCACCATTTTTATGTCGAGTGACCTTAGATATCCTGAAAAATTCATCTCTGAGACTTTTGGTTCGCCAGTTTATTATTGATAACTAGCGCTGGCTACATAACACACAAAAAGAAACAAAAGTTTTTACTGCATGCATTTCCATTTACAAATATTGTTAATTCAAAAAGTGTTTTTGAAACTAAACAATGAGTTTTGTAGAGAACTCTTCAATCTACAAGACCTCTATGCCAGATTATTCCTGAACAGACTACAATTTTTCAAAAAGCCACAAAAACAAATCTGAATGGTGCAAATCTTTCTTGCGAATCTCGACATTATAACAATAAGAAAATTCACGTTTGGGAACACGAGTAGATCTGTGGAAAGCTGGTTTCGATGAAACAAACTTTTTGAAGTATCATCTTGGTGAAAATTTTATCATAGACATAGTCTACAACGTGAAATCTATCCTGAAATTTATGGACGTTTTCGTCATAAGGTTAGAGTATTCTGTTTTTATTAATTAACCCATTAAATAATAAGTTTATTTAAGTACGAGCTGAAAGAGTCAAGATTTTTCCGTATGTTCATGATAAAAAAAAAAACTTGTTCAAAACAATAGCTCTTATAAATAATAAAAGTCAAATCGAAGATTGTCATTTATCGTTTTGGCTGATTTTGGACAAATAGATTTCCATTCCCTTCTACTATGTGCTATTTAATAAAACAAGATTAATATTTTAAAAGTATACATTCATTGGATAATTAGTTGCTTAAAATTTACAAAATAATTCATATTTTATTTAAAGAAAAAAATTAAATCTCACCTCGCGATATCAGATATCGTCTGGAAAAGACTTTCAAAGCCTAATATCTGTTCTAAAACTCTTCTTAATGTAGCTAAACCTAACCAAATTTTAACACGAATTTCACCAGGAAGAAAATTTCTTTTATCTTTAGCAATATCAGTTTCTTTTCCAGGCCATTTTAATGTTATTGTTTGAACTTTTCCACAAAGACGACCACGACGATCAACATTTGGTGAATAAAATACTTCATTTGCTGGTAAACGATAATATGCGTAACGTTTACCATTTGATAATAACCAAATAATTACATCCGGTATACTATTTTGTAGCTAAAAAAAATAGAATAAAATTTTATTATTATTTTGTTTTTAATCTTAAAAAAATTTACTTCAGCTTCAAGGTATCCAAGACTTTCTTTGATATCATCTAATCTGTTAAGAATTTCTTGTGATGATTTAGCATGTAATTTTAATTCTTCTAATTTATTAATCATATCTAATAAATCTTTTAAACGCATTTGACGTCTTAAACGATCAAGTTCATTAACATGATGACGACCTGATTTCTAGTTCAGGTAATGGTTTTCTATTAATACAAAATTCAATATTAAAAAAAACAAACTACTTCTTTTTTAATTAAAATCTTACTTTAAATGTCCAATAACCATATCAAGTGATTGTTTATAATGTCTAATAAGAATTTCATCCGATGTTTGTTTAACTTTTAATGACTCCAGTGTTGACATAAGACCCATCTACAAAAAATCGATACACAAAAAAAACTAAATCGTTGATTTACGAATTAAACAAAAACATACAACAAATAATTTAAGTTTTGATAATTGATTCATAGCTTCTAAACGATATGTTACATCTTCCCATTCACTTGCAACTTGTACACATGGTTTCGTATGTCCCCATGGTAAAAAATAATAAGATGTTCCATCAAAAAACAGGATTTGTTGGTGGTGTTGTTGAACTACTTGCATTTCCAACAAGATCATCAAATTTATTACTATAATTTCCAATACTTATTTCAAATTCAATCATTAATTCATGTTCATATAACATACAAGCATCAAGAAATGCAGCATGTAATTTATATTTTTTTCGTGATTGATATGGTAATGCACGAATTAAATCAGAATTTGATATATTACCAACAGGTTCTGTTAGAGTTTCACCAAGAATTGTTTGTAATTCAACAAATCTTCGTCCACGATATGCAACACCTTCATCCTAGTTTTACATTTTTTTTAATGGATAGAAAGAAAAAGACAAAATCCTATTACTTTTCCAGTATTCAATTCATCTAATGCTGTTGGAATTTCTGAATATTCACGTGGTGCACCATATAAATTAATCCAACATGGACCAAATTTTGGAAGAAAGCCTTTCAAAAAAAAATTATTTTAATAAACAAAAATTATTTTAATTATCTACCACGATCTTTATCTAATGGATTTAGTCCATTTTCGCCGAAAAAATTTTTCGCCGAAGACGAATTTCGCCGAAAAGAAAATTTCACCGAAGGAAATTCGCCGAAAAAAAGTTCACCGATTCTATTTTCGCCGAAAGAATTCGGTCACCGAAAACAAATATAAGTTGAGCTTGATCATGTAAATAACAATTCTATTGAGACAATTAATCGATTCTATCAAGTCCGTTAAATCCTACTTGAGNTAAGATAGAAAGAATTTTGGGAACGTCAATTTTTAATTCTGTTCCCATTCCCGTGTTCCCATTCCCTAAGTCTAAATGGGAATTCCCATTCCCATGGGAATGGGAAAATTAGGGAAAAAAGTCGTTCCCGCAGGACACTAATATGTGTGCTTCGATTCTGATTCAGTCAGTATCTAATTTAAGCAAATCGCTAACGATGCTCTAATGGCAAAAATGATAGTATGGATCATATATTTATCATTTTCGATCCGTCACAACCACAGCCACACTCACACACTAGAAACTCTTTATCTTGTATTTTTTATTGACAGAAATATTTCGATAGCAATTTCTTGTTTTTCAAGAAGAGAAATATTGCTTATTCCAACAGCATTTCCGAATTTCATTAGATTTCTGTAAATATAACGACTTTCAATCAATTGAAATGATGCAGCCAGATCTCATCATTATGTTTTGTCTCTTGTTGAATTTTCAAACTACTACGACTCTTTATCATATAGTTATGTGCTTTATTCAGTCTCAAAATTAAGATCAAATTTCAAGAATTAGAAACAAAATTTAGACGAATAGTAATGCTGAACATTGACGATGTTGCTATTGTGGAACTGAATTTTTTCGTGTATAAATGTAAGGATGATCTGTCGTAGGACATTCCAATGGTTCATCTTTCTGCCACGAAGTTTTTTTCGTACCAACTGATTCGAACATATTATTCCAAAGTGATAATGCAGCGACTGAATGACCTTTTCCTAAAATGAAACTAGACCATACACGCAGTAGCATGCGAAATGAAATTTACCGCTTAAATGGAAACAATCAGGAGCAAAATAACTAAAATCGATTTTATCATTTTTTCGAGGTGGTGTAGTCTGAGTGAAGAATGGTTGAACAACAACGGTGAAATCATCACGACCATCATATTGGCCTGAATTAACTAGATCAACAAGACCTTGTTGATATTTAGGAATCCAATCATTTATTATTGTCTCGTCTTCTTTCGTAGGATATGCTGCACATGGACATAAAGATTTGTGAAGAAGTCCACAAACAATATTGCCATTTTTAAGTTCTTTTACAGGACGAATATCGAGTACGGGTACAAGATTTATCAATGTACGAGGTAGATTAGCTTTGTACAATACATCGAGTGTAGCGCGAACCCATCCGACAAAATTTGCTGGATCATGTTTGGTTAAATCTTTACAGAAATCACATAAATCATTTCCCTAAATATATCAATAGGCGAAATAAAGCGTATGAAAATAGAAAACATACTCCAATAAAGAAGGTAATTAGCTTCCAATCGTTATTCCAATCGCAGATTTTCTCCTCCTTTAAGCGTTTTAAAAGAAGGTTAGCTTGATCGACCATATGATATGAACGAGCACCCGATTTCGCTGAAACAAAGAATAATTTTAATCAATAGGAATGATAACAGTGACGAAAAAAAAGCCATACTGACCGACATTTAGTCCATTGTGTTTTGCGTTTTGACCATTGAGAAATGATATTGAAGTTTTGGTTGAAAAACCTTTCAATTGTGGATTATAAAGACGAAGAATATTGGGTAATGTCAGTACTTTGTCATAGTTATGATCACCACCGATAGACCAGGAGACTCCTAAAGGTAATAACACAATAAAAACCTTACGATGAAACGAGCACAACAAAATTTACCTCGATTCTCTAACAGAACACCGATTGGAGTAATAGCATGAGCACCCATAGCGGCTGTCAAGCTGTCACCCATGGCTGCAACACATTGAATATCACCTGGTCGTAGAGCATGAACTGATGTTGGAGTTTCCAAACTTCGCATATCCTTTGTTGAACAAGGAAAAGGCTCCGGAGATTTACCATAGAGATAATCGGATTCGGACATTAGTTCGAGCGACCATTTGGTGAATTCTTCTAGGAAGTATCCATCAAGAGCCAAATTTTCTATAGTCGATTGATATTCCGTTAAATTAAAACTGACAACATTGCTCGACAATATTGTAAATAGGGACAAACTAATAATCAAAGTTGTTTTCATTCTTGATAATCTTTCGGTTTGCCAATACAACACGAAACAAAAACACGAGTGTCTTTTAATAAGCAAAAAATTGATAACAAAAGAAAAACTATCACCAGGTGTTTTGTTTTTCACTGATAACCGGCTACGAATTATCAACAAAGCTTGTAGAATTATGATATAGTCAAGCGGTCACAAAAATATAATCGTGTGTCCTCCATGTAAAGAAAAGGCCACATATATTACTCTACATAATTATCTAATAAAAGTATCATAATTGAATCAATTACAGGGGGGTGCAAAAGTCACTTAACTCAAAAAAAAAATGAATATCTCCTTTATAGCTCAAGCAAATGAGCTGATTTTTTTATCGATGATAGAGACATGTTCAAGCTTTATATCCATAAGGACATATCTAGGGAGACCTTTTGTTAAGTATCACTATTGAACTCAACAAAAAAAGTTTTACTTTTTCAGAGCTAGAAAAAAGGTCACTTTATCGAAAAAAATTGAATATCACCCCTACGGCTCGAGCTAACGAGCTAATTCTTTTATCAATGATAGAGGCATGTTTAAGCTTTATATTCATAAAGACATGCCTAGAGAAATCCTTTGTTAAGTATATTGTTTTCTATTCTATCTATGAAAGAATAAAATTATTTTGTTGGGATCATTAGTGGTACTTTATAAAAGCTCTCTCTAATCTTCTCCGTATGGATTTAAAGTGTGAACATGCTTCTATTATTGGTGAAAAAATCAGCCCGTTTGCTCGAGCCGTAGCGGAAATATTTAATTTTTTGTTGGTATCGTGACTTTTGGGCCATATACAGGGTGGCCCAAAAGTCAGTTTACCAAAATAAAAATTGAATATCTCCATTACGGCTCGAGCAAACGGGCTGATTTTTTTACCAATAATAGAGACGTGTTCAAACTTCATATCCATAAAGACATGCCCAGAGAGACCCTTTGTTNTACGGATGCAGCTAGAAATGCCTGTACATCTCTCTTGAAAAACTCATAGTTACGCCTCTGTCCCCATCTTCGTGCGTCACAAACATTGTTGGTATACGATCAAAGATTGTATAATAAGAATGTCTCGCTTTAACATATTAACTATTTCGTTTTTTCATTTCTGGAGGATTGAGTACAAGAATGTTGAAGAAATATATCTCAAGATAGATTGAATAAAACAAACTCTCGGTGATTAGTCACAACAACTACATTGTGTTTCACATTTTATTCTCGCACGGATTGTCCTAACAGATTTTTTTTTATTTATAAGTTAAATTAAACGAAAAAATTTAATAATTAACAGTCATTTAAGACGGTGGTTGTTTTACTCGAATTTACAATTATTTATTTATTTTTAATCTATATTTGAAATATCCTAATCTTATTTTTCTTTATTATTTCGATAAGGAGAGCTTGTGCATAAATGTAAGGTCAAGTAACATCTAGTTGTTGATGATGTTTTTTCTATAAAAAGATCATGTTCAATGAATCTTTAGCCGACGCATAAAATTTTTCTTATATGAAACAGGCACATGGGATAGAATAGATATTCTCATTTATTTAAATCTACATTAACAGTTTGTCAGATTAAAATGATGAATCATCGTTATGCTTGACTTCCCCTTTCTCGTCGCTGTATGATTTATTTCTTAGAGTTGATGCCCTTGACGATATATTTTTCTGCTTCATTTTTTATGTCTAATACTGAACAAGAATACATTCATAATGATATATACATTACTACAGTAATAAAATCAAACAATCTACAAGTTTGTCAAGCTTAATAATAAAGATAATGCTATTCGTCGAGTTGATCAAATCGATGTTACAGAATTGAGTAAAATTTTTCGATAAATAAATCTCAATAGGACAAAGATGTCTTGTATTTTCGATGAAGTATTCTATAAAATAGTTCAAATGGTTAAATCTTCTCAATATGATTAGACGATAGTTCGATTCTATGTCCAATCACTTTCATCTTATTATTCATAAAACTTTCTAAATGCTTACATTGAAAATGATGTATAAAAATAAATAATGGTGTTTTCTGAATGATAGAAATATCGTCAATGATTGTTCTTGATATTATTTCTGATTCATTGTATGCATAAAATCACATTTTTTCCTAAGGATTTTTTTGTCAAGTTTTTTCAGATTTTAATTTCTATCATCAAATTCCAACGTGAAAATATTGAAATTGATGAGAATATGTCTTGATCGTGTTTATGAACATAATATACGTTTCACATTTTCTAATAAATTTAAATCGTATTGAATTTAATTTTTGTAAATCTTGGCCAAGGATAAAGAATAAATAATTTTTGAGATATGAGAATTATAAAATTCGATACTCATGTTTCTAAACTGATTATTTTTTCTCAATTATTCTTAGGTTGGTTTGAATTACCGGATGAAAAAAATTGTAATGTTTATATAAGCGGTCTTCCACTCGATATAACGGATGAAGAATTTGAAGAACTTATGTTAAAATATGGAATTATTTCACCAGATCCAAATGATCTACGAAAGAAAAAAATCCGTTTATATAGAGATGAACAAGGAAATCCAAAAGGTGATGGAAGATGTCGATATGTAAGAGTAAGTTCTTCTCTTTTATATAATTTCATTTGTTATTAATATAAGTATTTAATTAATTTTAGCCTGAATCTGTTAAATTATGTATTGATATGCTCGATGAAACAGAACTTCGTTCATCAAAAATTCATGTTGAACGTGCAAAATTTGAAGTTAAAGGAACATTTAATCCAGATTTAAAACGTAAAAGAAAAAAATTAGATAAAAAGAAAAAACAACTTGAAGTAGATAAATTACTTAATTGGGATGAACGTCCAGAAGTTATTAGACATAAATATGAAAGAATTGTTGTTATAAAAAATATGTTTGATTTACAACAATTTAAAGTAATTATTTTTACAAGATGTTACAAAAGTTTGCCGAAAAAAAAGAACATGAATAACTTTTGAATAATTCAAATGATTGTTGAATAATTTGCACTCATTGTTCGAAATGAGCATATTGAACTTAAATATGTGAGTCTGCACTTTTCATATATTTGAAAAGAAGACATTGCATAGAATTTTCTTTTCTTTACTGATTCTTATTGTTATTTCAACATCTTTTTTGATGGGTCTTCATAGAAAAGATTCAAATGACACTAGTGAAGAAATTACTCCAACTGTAACTCCCCATATGAGCTCATATCGAATCCACAAGGAAGTTTCGATTAGAATAGAAAATGTGTAAAAAGGATTCGTATCTGTGTGCCATTGGAACCGAGTTATGACTGTTTTACTGAATTTTCGACCTATAACATTATCTATAGATAGATCTAATGAGTCTTAGAACATCTTCAAAGTTTCAGTCGGAATGTTCCATTATACAAATATTAAATTTCTGACAAATAGCAAGTCATAAAAATCGAGTTTATCCAGAAATCCAATATGTTGACAAATGAACATCTCATTTTGTTGAATTATTTACTGAGCTCAGTTAAGATTCAATATACAACTGAGCAAACTTGACAAACAGCTTGTCAAATTGGTGTCAATTGACTTTCACTGTCAATATAAGCTTCAGTAACTGTTTCTTATGTCATTACTCCAAGACGTTTAGAATGTACTTGGTCTGCTAAAATATCAGTTTGATAAAGTCATTCAGAGAATTCTTCAATAACATCTAGATTTGGCATTTCTTTATCAAATTCAACTGGCAACTTTCGTTTCATAGTTGTAGATGATATTAATATGACCACTAATAGAACTATTTGTATCCCCATGTTCAAAGATGGAGGCATTTTATTAGAAATATATCGAATACAAACTTTGATAAATATGAAATGAAGTGATGAGATAAACATGTAAATCGATTGAATTGCTAAAGAGTTCTTTCAGTTTCATTTTCTGGCAAACTTTTGAAATCTTGTATATTTCTATTTTTATAAAAAATGTATCTATTTTCTATTTAGAATGATCCATTGTTTATTGATAGATTACGAAATAATATTCGAGAATCTTGTAGTGAATATGGAGAAGTTAAAAAGATAAATATTTATGATGTAAATATTTATATTTGAATTTATTTTAAATAAAGATTTATTTTGTTTTTTATTTTATTTAAAAGGGAAATCCAGCCGGTGTTGCGACTGTTGGCTTTACGGATATAGATCAAGCTGATGTATGTTGTCAATATATGAATGGTAGAATTTGGCATGGAAGAGTTATTCAATGTCAAACTTGGGATGGTATGAGAGTTTATTTTTATGTTAAAAAAAGAATAAATATTTTTGTTTTCTTTTTTTTAGGTTCAACAAAATATGATGTAGCAGAACCAGAAGAATACGCAAAAGAAAGAATTGATGAATGGCATAAATATTTAAACGAAGATGATGATGAAAAACAAACATAGTTTATTCGATTTATTATTATTTTTTTGTATAGTTTGTTTATGTGCAATTAAAAACCAAGAAAAACAAATTATATAAAATTAAATTGAGTATGACATATCGATGTAGCGGTTTATTCGGTGGAGTGAAATTGAACTATAAAACTAAGCAAAATGAATATGAACACCTTGTAGGACGACGTCGATGGCATACAAAAGTGTAATTTTTACAAGAAGGAAAAAGCACAGTTCTGTACTTCAGAAGTATCGAGAAGTATGAAGACGTACAGAGAATTATCGAGACTTACACAAAAGTACTTTGAACTACGATGAAATATAGATGCGTACACAAGTATACTTTCAAGCTCCTTCATGTTTACTTTTAAGAAAAATCCTAAAAACATTCAGTTTCAGTGAACTCTTCAATGATAACTTATTCAGGTGCTCACTAACATGCTGATTGCACCGCTATCAGTTTTATCGGCACTGTGAGTAACCTGACATTCACTATGACACCGATGCTTAGTGAAGTGGCCATATCTCGATATTGATTTTCATTGAGTATAATCTATATCAGAATATTGTGACATATACTGAATTGAGTGCATAGATTTACAGAACATTTTCTTTGGATAAGTGCACAATATCGTAATAGGTTCTCACACTTTCTCTACTAAAGCTGAATCTATTTAGCGTTCCACTATATTAACAACTGAATAATTATTCTTTTGCTAGCTGCATAAACTAAACAGGTGTGCTTGGGTATTGATCAGGATGCGTATGAACTGGTATCAGTGTGAAATGAGGGCGTGGGCGTGTATGTCTGTGAGGTGTTAGTGCAGAGAAGTCACTCATAACCATCATTATACACATCCATATCTTGATCCTCATCCTGTCAAATTTCAAAACTCACGGCTCGTACTTACACCAACTCAGCACATTCAATTGTTTACCAACACCGACTTTTTATTTTTGGAGTTTATCGCATCATGTTCTGTAAAACTCAATTTTTCAAAAATAAAATTGAAAGCGGTAAATTAAAATTAGGCATAAGGGCAAAAGTCAAATAGCTGCCTGGACTAAACGCGACAAAACGTCTGTGTTGCAGAATATCATAATGAATAACATAAAATCCAAAAGTTTATACTCTTTATACGAATTTAATAGAGTCATTTATCTATGGTAGAAATGGACAAACGTGCACATAACTGAATCTAGACGCGACATCGTCTTCAGATTCTCACTGTAGCCCTAAATAAGAATTTTACATATATAAATAACTAGCCTTGTATGTGTCTTAAATATTGCGCTAAAAGAGTAGTTAAGCATGATGTATCAAGATAGAAAAGAAAATGAATTTTTAATGTTAACAGTCCTGGTTGAAAGATAATATTTATATAGTAAGACTAAAACTTCTAACACTTAAAAACGACGCATTTCCGTGTTATTGGCATTCTTATTCCCAATTATAGACTGTTTAAATTTATGTTATTTTTTGGAATGACTAAAATGTGTTTATTTCGTTACTTTTCATTGATAAATATGAATAAAAGTACAAAAAAGAACATATTTTGACAGATTCCGATGCTTGAATGTTCTAATGAGCATCGATACCAGTTTAATCATTGTTTACTGAACTTTGGTGTTCCAGTGAACACTGATTAAACGTATCAGTGTGATCAGTAATCGCCAGTGTCAGTGGACTCACATCCATGGAGTTAAAAAAATTTAAAAAAAAAGGCATTAAAATGATAGAACAGGTAAAAGCATTGATATATTTCAAATGCATTGACTGAAATAGACATTTTCATGAATTTCATTGCATGTTATTGATTAAAAATCAAATTCACTGCATTTGCTTGATGGAAATATCGTTTCTCATCAATGAATTTGAAAGTCATCAATGTTTTGTTTGTTCCATCATCTAAAATGGCATTTTTCTCGTGTTTTTCACATCAAGTTCACGAAAGTCATGCAACTCTTTTGGGTGGTGTGTGAGTGTGTCGGGTATAGAAGCTCTAACACCCACACCCTTAACTATTTTTCAATTATCCGAAATAGTTCATTTGTAAACCGACCGTAGATCATGAGCTTCTTTTGAGACAAATACAAAAATAATAAGTTAAATTAAAACAATGAAGATCAATTTAATCTATAATCGTACTTCATTCAAGATATGAGACAATTTGAATGAGATAATTTTCGAAAGTTATTCAATTAGAAATCGAAGCTTTTCTCACGCAAGCAATGTCTTTTTAATATCAGATCTACAATTCCAATTCATGTTGGTTCTTTAAAAAAAGTTAGCAGGAAGATCTTGGTCATAATTATTTTTTGAAGTTAATCAGAGGCAGTATCACCTTATTTTCTTGTTGTTCATGAAGCGAAAAGACGTTGGACCAAAACCTTTCTTTTCGAAATCATCTATTAAGTTTTCATACAGTCAACGAACCTTTTTTCTTCGAATTTCAACCAATCAATCAAATCTCTCATGTTCGTCAATAAGATATTATCAAAGAAAATTACCTCGTGAAACGAAAATCACCGAAGTAAAAAAGTCCATTGAAATCTGATTAATTGAAGAACATCATTAAAAAGTTCAACTGGCTGGATATGGCTTCGAATCAAGATTGGCAAAGCTCAAACTTGTAAATCCGAATTCAGACAATGAAAATTCTAAAAGTAGTTATTTGACGTTTAGATGAGGAGATACCAGAATTTATTGCTTTTTGAGATTTATTGGATTCATTTAAATTAGAGTATATGTCAATTGATAGGATATAAAACATTTTAAACGTCTCAAAAGAGGATCATAGTCCAGAAGGCTTAGCTCTCACCCTCATCCTTATTATAGATTAAAAAGTTTCTTTCAATAATACATTTTATTCACGTCACTGGCCTCACGGTTTTGTACAATATAACGGTTTTAGTACAGTTATGAAGGTGCATTAATTGTTGGAAAGAGTTAATTTCGAATTTGTAATTTCACTGATTCAAGCTCAGATTTAGAAAAATATCCGAATTGAGAATTTTTCCTGCCGTTTCGGAAGACCTCACAACCCTTACTATGATCGTGAAATCTGCAATAAAAACTTGGTCAAGACAGGGCACTTGCTGAAGAAATTTTCAAGACAAATGAGGATGACAGTATTGTCTAATGTCATGAGGTTCTTTTATGTTGAGATATCTTCGTCTGAAGAAAAATTCGATATCTACTTTCTACCTCATTGGCATGAAGACTGATCGAATGTTGATTAGCGGGAGCGGTTGCAGTTTAATAGGCTCTATTTCTGATCAAACTTCGAAATTCAAAGAGTACGCTTTAGATACTCTTCATCTGGTTTTAAAAATTCAATAAACTTTCATGCTAGTTTTAATTTTCAAACGTACGCAAAAAACAAACCATTATGATATAAAAGCTTATTGAAACGAGACATTAGATAAGAACAAAAGAGGGTGTGCATGTGTTGGTCTGACGTGGATGGGTGTGTCTTCTTTTCATCCCTACCTACAGCCACAGCGACAGCTACACACCCTGTATGAACAAACTATAAAAGTCCTTCGCAAACAAATTATCTTTAGCCGAGTTACAAGTGTTCAGCCATTTCTCTGACTCCATAATAACATTTCTCAATCTTTCTTTTTATGGGGATAAAGCAAAACTAATTTTTATACAACGACTATTCGAGAATTTAACAAATGAAACATGAGAATAATTTAGAGATATTGAAACAATTATAAAACAAACATTGCGAAGTAATTATTTTTGTCGATTAAATATTTTTTCAAAGCTAGAAAAACTGAAAAATATCTGAAAAATCTAAGGTTTTTGGAAATTTACTATGCAGTACAGAAATGTTTGCGCTAACAAAGATTAGAAAAAGTAGATAGAAGAATATTTCGGCAAAATTTAGAGGTACTATGCAGGTAGATTGTTCATTTTTTGCAGGTTCAGCTCTTTGGACGGTACTGTAAGGAAAAAAACTTTTTTGCATTTTATAGAGCTCTCCTTGCAGATTCAGAAAATGTACTTGATTAATTAGTCGAACAGTTTAACTTTGTCAGATTTGAATTTTCCTGGTGACATGACGATTGTCATGCTAATTTTTGGTTAACTGTTTGTTTTTTCAGTTTCTTTGAGGACTAGAACAAAGTTATTTATAGCATTAGACAGACTATATTTCAAAGTATATTTTCCTATATTTAAATCTTGAAAAACCACGATCTTCATTTTTAGCCAAATGTCCACCTAGATGCACACTGTTTCTCCTTTCCCCACAAACCATGAAAAACAATATTAATATACAATCACAGACTGTATATGAATAACTTTCCGTTATAATATCTGAATCACTTCGTTATTGCATTTCTGAAGAGCTAAGTAAAAGGATTGTTAACAAATATGTCCTATAATATGTGCTAATGTCGGTGACTAAAGAAACAAAACAAAAAGCAAACTATTGAATTAATTTTCAAAAATGGACGATGATTTGATGAGAAATCTGTTCAATTGAATTTTAATAATTATTTCTTGTACTAGAGGATTGAAACTATACCTTAAAGTTTTTAAATGATTTTAGTAGATGCTGATAACCTTCGAATTAGATTATATTTTTGATTTTGATGTATTAACTACATAATTCAAATTAAACGAAATATATCCTAATGATAGATCGATCTATACGTGGTAAAAACTTTTCTTAAGACTTTGATTTTTTTTCACTTATTTTTTGAGGTATGCTCAAATATAGATCAGAAGTCTAATTGCAATCGCAGATCAAATTCATAAGAAAAGTTTGAAACATACATAAACTGATGCCATTGTTTTTGTTGACTCTAAATATGTTATCTCTTTTGATAGAAAACATGATTAATTTTTTATGATTTATCTGTTGATATATAATTCCTTTAGTTTGCATTAAATAATAAATACATACGTGAAGAAAACATGTAAAATTTGCTAATCAAAATTTTCCTATGTAATATTTACAAAAACAAAAATGTAATCAAGTTCAAATCTTCTT